TCTACATGCTACATACTGAGACCCTGTCTCAAAAAGAAAAGGGAAAAAAAGCATTTTTGAAAGAATGCCAGGCAGGCAGATGGGCAAGTCTTGGGCTGGCAAGCCTGATGACGTGAGTTGGATCCCTGAACTCATGATGGAAGGGAAAGGACCGACTCTGGGAGGTCATCTTCTGGTCTCCACATGCACATCTTTGGCATGTGTACGCAAATACATCCTCCCACCTAAACACATGTACTGCAGAAAAAGAATCATTTCATGTACTGCAGAAAAAGAATCATTTCCCAAACTCTACAGAATGCTAGGAATGGGTTGGAGAGATGGTTTAGTGGATGAGTGCATGTTGATCTTCCAGTTCCCAGAACCCACATCAGGTATTTACAGTCTCTCATGAACACACATGCCCACACATAAACATTAAACAAAAGCTAACATCAGGTAGTTTACAATCTCTCCTGAACACACATGCCCACACATAAACATTAGAAAAGGAGCTAAAATCTGGACTGGAGAGATGACTCAAAGGTTAAGAGCACTGGCTGCTCTTCCAGAGGTCCTGCGTTCAATTCCCAGCAACCACATGGTGGCTCACAACCATCTGTAGTCAGATCTGGTGCCCTCTACCTCAGGCATACATGCAGGTAGAAAGAACACTTGTATACATAATAAATAATTCTTTTTTTTTTTAGATTTATTTATTTATTACACATACAGTGTTCTGTCTACATTCCAGAAGAGGACACCAGATCTCATTATAGATGGTTGGGAGCCACCATGTGGTTGCTGGGAATTGAACTCAGGACCTCTGGAAGAACAGCCAGTGCTCTTAACCTCTGAGCCACCTCTCCAGCCCAATAAATAATTCTTAAAAAAAAAAAAAAGCTAACACCAGGTAGTTTACAGTCTCTCCTGAACACACATGCACACACATAAACATTATTTTAAAAAAAAGCTAGAAACAAGTGAAGAGATTTTGGGGAGGAGAAAAATGATTTTTTTGAGACCAGATATCTGAAAGCACAGTATGGGTGGAGCCATGCCCTGCATTTTCTAGCTTTTGTTGTCTCCCAATAACCTTTGCCTTGTAGATGCCCATAATCATCACAGTGGGATCTGTGAGTGCAAGGCCAGCCTGGTCTAGACAGGGAGTTCCAGGCCAGCCTGAATTAGAGCTACACAGTAAGAGTCTGTCTCAAAAAAAAATAAAAAAATAAAAAATCCTTTGATCTAAGTTCTTTTGGGAATTTAGGATCAGAATGAAATGATTCTTGCTCAGCCCATCAGCCCTTGACTTGAGGAGTAAACCCTGGCACTCTTTGCTTCTCACCATGTGGGTGGGGTGGGGGTAGCTCTGAGGAATGATGCAGACACATAGTTAGCACAGCTAATATTAAGATTTTTTTCTTCCTCTTTAGGCAAGGTCTCACTGGCTTCAAGTTCACAATCCTCTTGCGTTAGTCTGCTGAGAGCTGGGCTTAGAGTGCTCCCATTAAGGTAGAAGGTTCTACCCCCCACAGTCCAGGTTACCAGGAAGGGCTCCTACTAGAGCTAAAATGAATATACTCAAGAGAAAGGTTCATACAAAGTAGGTGCAGCCTCAAAGTTGACATGTGTGGACTCTAATGTTTTCTGGACTCTGTAGAAGTATGAGTTTTTAAGTGCCTTTTTTTGTGACAAGTGCTTTTAATATGGAGTTAACTGACTTTCTGGCCTCAATTTTTATGGGACAGCACCAGTTTCCTATTGGTGTGCTAACAAATGAAGCAAGCTGAAACACCATACATTTATTAACTTGAAGCTTTAAGGGTGTGTCTCACTGGGCTTACATTCAACAGGAACATTCACTTTTTTCTTGATATTCCTTAGCTCTTAGCCTCCTTCTACCCTCAAACCCAGGAATGGTGGAGATGGAGCTAAGGGGGTGCTTGAGTGGCAGGTGCAAGGCTCTGGATTTGTCACTCACACACTACAGGAAACACACACCCCAGCGATAGAGGGTTTGGATTCATAAGCCACTTGTGAAGACCCTTGTGATGACTCTAGGCCCAACTGGACACTCCAGGGTAATTTCATCTCAAGGTTGACCTACTGGCAACCCTAATTCCACCTGCAATTTTAACTCCCCTTTGTCATGGAGTCTACCATACACACGTGTTCTAGGGAGGACATGACTTTGTTGGACTTCCTTCCTGACAGACTGCCCTTCTGTTACTACATTTGCATGAAATTGGTCTACAGTCTCCCAAGTGTTCCCACTCTAACAGGAATCCAAACACACAAGCTAAGTTACTATTATATTTGACTTTTCATGGTATTTGTGTAATTATTCTCAAATACTATAATTAAGAATTTTTTTTTGTCCAGAAGTGACATGGAAAGACACTAGGCCATGCTTCTTCCAGCCCCCAAACACATTCAATACCAATTATAATGGACTTTACAGCAGAAATAATTTTAAACCATATCTAACTCTCTTCCCTTCTTAACATTTTCATGATACTTGTGATTAAACCCAGGGCTTCAATAATGCTAGGCAAGGGTTTCATTACTGTGCTGTCCCCAGCTTTTGGAGACAGGACCTTGTGATATAGTCCAGTCTAGTTTCAAGGCCACCACATAGCACCCTTACCTTTACTCATTTTTAGTTTATTGATACTATGCATGTTGTGGTCGGTGGACAATCAGGTCAAGTCAACTCTCTTCTACCTTTTTGAGGATTCTAGAGATCCTACTCAAGTTGTCAGGCCAGCAAGTAGTTTCCCCACTGAGAATCTTGCAGCTTAGTCCCCTTCTTCAAAAACCCTTGCTTTTTTTGGGTTTTTGAAGAAGGGGACTTCTTCAAAACTTGCTGGCGGTGGTGGCGCACGCCTTTAATCCCAGCTTAGGAGGCAGAGGCGGGCTGTTCTCTGTGAATTCAAGACCAGCCTGGTCTACAGAGCGAGTTCTAGAACAGCCAAGGCTACACAGAGAAACTTTGTCTCGAAAAACAAAACTAAACAAAAAAACAAAAACAAAAACCAACAGTGACCTTCCAGGGCACTGAGAGTGCACATGGTGTGCACACACATGCAGGCAAACACTCTTCACTTACATTAAAACAAAACCCTGACATGTGATCTCCAGGAGGCTGGAGAAGCAGCAGAAGTGAGAGCAGTTCATAGACATGAATGTAGAGGGCAATGAAACAGGTGTAATGGACAATCTTCTAGAAGCTCTGTAGTCAGGGGCAGCATTCCAACAAAAGAGAGGGCCTCATCAAGTCAACAGCAAAGCTGGGTGTGCAGTCACATCTCTGCTAGCCTCGGAGCTGACTAAGGATGATTCCATGGCTGCTGGTCCTGCTAAGGTGCCCAAGAAAAGTGAAGGAGTCCCCACAATCCTTGAGGAAGCCAAGGAGCTGGTTGGCAGTGCAAGCTAAGCTGGGCTCTATGGCCATTGCTGCTCCTAAGTGAAGCCTAGACTGTCTACCTGCAGCATGTGCCTAAATGGTCCAGGGGGTATCCCTCTGCAGTGGCCACTCCACCACCTGACCCTGTCTGTCTGTCTGTCTGGCCTGCTGCTCTCTGAACATCACATACAGCTTCAGCTGCCTGGAGGCCAGAAGGAAAGGGCAGTGTAGGGGTGGCCTCAGCATGGCTAGCTTAGTCAGTAGAGCATGAGACTCTTAATCTCAGGGTGGTGGGTTTGAGCTCCACATTGGGTGCCAGATATAGCGGCAATTAACAAGGCAATTTCACATAATTTATCTGGTAATTGAAAGAGGTTTATTTCAGGGCTAACTTAAAACCAATAAGGGGTCGATTACAGGATCCGGGAGAGATGAGGTACAGTCCAGCGTAGTTCTCTGGGGAACTCTGACTTGGTCTACAAATTCAACCTCCAGGACCATGAGGAGCTAAGAAGGCGAACACATACACATCTCGGGTCTTAAGGGGTCTCCTCTTGGCCACACCCCAGGGGCAGGTCATAGGCAGGTGTGGCAGTTACTTGCTGCCACACTAGGGGCAATGTTTTAAGGTCAAAGCTGGAACAGCTACCTACTACAGGGAAGGCTACACAGAGAAACCCTGTCTCCAGAAACACACACACACACAACAAACAAACAAAGAAACCACCAACAGACAAACCCTATAGCTTGCTGTAACTCGAATAAATGCCAACGGAAAAACTTCATGTGGCCATAAAAGTGAGTAGAAAGTCACTACGGGGCCAGATGGCTTGGCAGTTAGGAGCACTGGCTGCTCCTGTAGAGGACTGGGGTTTGGTTCCCATCACCCACATGGAGGCTCACAAACACCTGTAAATCCAGTTCCAGGGGATTTGGTGCCCTCTTCTGACCTTCCAGGGCACTGAGAGTGCACATGGTGTGTACACACATGCAGGCAAACACTCCTCACTCACGTTAAAACAAACAAACAGCCAGTAATGTCAATAAAACCCACTCAAATTCAAGTAAATGGAGACAGAGGCAACTCTGATGAAATGGTTTATCTTTACTATCCGACTTATTATCACCTCTTCATCAACCTACTATTACTTTAGCTCTCTTGTATTTTGAGTACTTTGGCATCTAAATATTTTGAAAAAGAGTTGACAAGGGCAGGCCATAATGGTGCTCTCAGGAGCGGGAGGCAGGGGGGTCAGTTCAAGGCCAATTCGTACTATACAGTAAGTTCTAGAACAGCCAGAAAGCCACAGCGAGACCTTGAATCAAAAGAAAAAAAAAAGAAAGAAAAGAAAGAAGAAAGAAAGAAAGAAAGAAAGAAAGAAAGAAAGTGGACAAGAGGGGCTCAGCAGTCAGAAGCACTTGGTGCTTTTTCGGAGGACCCAAGTTTGGTTCCCAAGACCCTTGTTAAACTCCCATAGCTCCAGCTTGGGCTTCTATGAGCACCGCATGTACATGGTACACTTACATATATACAAGCACTCACACAAACACAAAAAACCAAACAGTTAAAAGCTGAAAGGACTCCATCAGCAGTGATTAGTAAATTCATCTCTACATGTGAAGAACATAAGTATTTTTATTTGTTCAATAATGTAAAATGCACATGTTAACTGATACACACTCATATATAACTTTCCCCCTCATATCCATAACTCAACAGATGGGTGAATCCAGCAGAATGACCATGATCATCATATGAAGCAGACCTACAAGGAAGAGGAAAAAATTGAATCCAATGCACTGATCAGATGATGTTAAAATCGGACTTCTCTGAATAATTCACCTTAGAGCATCAGAAAAAAAAAAATCTAGAAAACATATCTATTAAATAGAATCAGAACTTGATTTTAAATTTGTAACAAAAACATAGAAATGGACAAAGTGGTATTAATAGAAAAAAGAAGCAAAAGATTTGGACAATAAACCCTAAAGTGTTACATTTGAGAATTCTTAAATGTGTTTTGTAGTCACTATGTTTATTATCTAGCAGATTTAATCCATGGAAACAAGTATTTTGTGTGTGGTATGCATGCTGATGCTGGGAGTCTCTGTCAATGGCTTTCCACCTTCTTCACTGAGGTAAGGTTTCTCAATTGACCCCAGAGCTTACCAGTGGCTAATTAGTCATCTTATTCCTGGGATCCTCTGCTCACCTTCAGAGTTTGGGAATTACAAGTGGTTGCCAAGCCAGCCTTTACAAGGGTTCTGGGGATCTGAGCTCTGCCCCTCATGCTTGTGTGGTAGTTCCTTTAACCACCGAGCTATCTCCCAGCCCAGAAGTTAAGGGTTTTTAATGAGGGATTTTTCACTTTATAAAGGGTAAAGGATTTCTTCCAAATAATTTTCAGAAATAAAGCATATACATTACATATATCCGTGTAATATACATATTATATGCAGGTTGTGTGTAACACATGTGCACACACACATACTCACAAATCTTCTCTCTCTTAAATTAGAGCATGTAAAATATCTCATTAATATTAGGTTTTATCTGAATTCCTCAACTGGATGCTAGCTATAGTGACAATCACAATGAAATGGTTAAGAAGAAAAAAAATTCAGAATCCATCACCTTTATACATTCATTCATTCTACAACATTAAACTCCTAGAATGGCTGGGTACTCAGTGCACTGTTGAGAACATAACATTAATACAATAGATGAGAGTTCTGCTATTACAGAATTCACACTTAGGTACACAACATGACAAACACATACAAATTGTGCCAATTTGTCCTCAGTGCTTTGAACACAATGTGGAAAGTACTCGTAAAGAAGGTATGATTTAGGGTGATTTTTGGTTTTACTGTTTTTTCCTTCTTTCTTTGTTTGGGACTGGGTTTTGCTGTGCAGACCAGTCTAGCCTCAGACTAACTATCTCCTTGCCACAATCTCTACAGTGTTGGCACTATAGTACGTATGACCTCATCCAGCACTGAGTTTCGCTGCAGACCAGGAGTGCTGGCCTGCTTCTTAAATCCCAGCACTCAGGAGGCACAGGTAGGGGCAGGTGGATCCTGTCTACATAGAGACCTCAAGGATATACAGTAAGACCCCATCTCTCTCTTTTTTGAGACAAGGTCTCTTTACTTAGCCCTGGCTGTCCGGGAACTCACTATGTAGACCAGGCTAGCCTCATAGAGATCTTCCTACCTCTCTGTCACCCTAACGCTGGCACTAAAAAAGGTATGCTCAGTGGTGAGACCCTGTCACAGCCACAAACAAACAGATAAATTAACTTCCATAATCTATATACTCTATAAACATACTTACTATATTAACATTTCCAAAGTTTATTCCAATCCATTTCTTCTTTTATACTCCAAAACATCTTCATTATGTTGTTGAATGAGCTACAATTAATGGTTAAAAGTAGAAATGTAATCTTCCTCGTGGCTTAAAGAGGAGGAAACCAAGTAAAGATCCTTATGTTTCATAAAAGAAATAGGGTAGATTAAAACAATTACTATTTTACTAGAAATAAAAAGCTAAAAAATTCAAATTCAAAAATCATTAGTGGAGTACATCTGTTGACCACAACCTGACATTAAATTTGAGAATGATACAATGGGAATCATATGATGACAGAGAATTATAAAATATGACACTCTAGTTGTCAGATGTGTCACAGTAAATGCTACACTTTTGTGTACCTGTATGTGTGTGCAATGTCTATGTATAGTTGTGTTTGCCTGTGTATGCTCATGTAGAGGCCATAGGTCCACTTTATGCGACCGTGCAGGATGTATTTCCAAGCTTTGAAGCCTGACACTGTGAGTGAATGACCCACCCCATCCCTCATCTCTCTGTGAGTTAACTAGAAGTCAGAGAACAGCTACTTTTCAGAGTCACCGTCTGATAGACTTATGTAACTGGAACAATGATTGATACAGGATGACATTCATGGGACTCAGACCTAATTTCAACCCTTAATGCTCTCGGCAGCTATTAAGCCTTCCATCAGGAAAAAGTTTCAAGAATGAGTATGAGATTGGGGCTGTAGAGATGGCTTTGCAGTTAAGAGCATGTACTGCTAACAAAGGACCCAAGCTTGGTTTCCAGGACCAACAATAGCCAGCTCACAAATGTCTGTAACTCCAGCTCCAGGGGATCCAATGGGTAGGCTACTCACATAAACCCACAGGAAAACCGAGGTGCCCAAGGCCAGCCCAACTCTCAGCCAGTTAGGTTTGGCATTGTACGGCTCCCGGACGTAGAACTTGGACCGTGTTGAAGCTGAAAAAGGAGAGAGAATGTATACCTTATTGACTTGCAGCGAGGAACACTTAACATTCACTAGTGTACGTACTATTGCAAGAAACTCTCTCCTGAGATAGGGGTTCTTGTAGACCAGGCTGCTCTTGAATTCCTGATCGCCTGTCTCCACCTCCCCAGGGTTGGGATTCCAGGCGAGCCCCACCATTCCTGGCCTTAAATTGTCATTTATACTCTATCTGCCCACCCCAATCTAAACAGTCAAGGAAACATAGTCCAGAGAACTGAGGTAACTCGTCCGGGGCCACCAGCAGAGCCACAGGGCCGTCCTTGGGACTCAGGACACCTTCAAAGCCTCGCTAAGGTGTCGCCGGCCCTCATAGGCTCGGGAGGGGGAGGAGGAGAGGCAACCCCCGTTTGCTGTTTCCTGGGCATATTTGTAGAGCCGGGGGGCAAAAAGACCCCAAATCCACTCAGAGGCCAAGTGGTAGTCTGGAGGAGGGCGGACGGCCGAAGATGCGGAGTGGAGAACTCGGCCCGGGCCGGTGAAGGTCACTGCAGGAAGGCCTGCGCCGCAACCTCCTCCTCCTCCTCCTCCTCCGGAGGTTGCAGGAAGGTTCGAGCTGAGGGGGAGTAGGCCGAGGGCCGAATGGGCCTGAAGAGACACTCACGGCAGCTCGGCAGCCGGGCGGGCGCCAGCAGCCGCGAGAACGGACGCAGGAGCGAGGACGGCGCCATCTTCCCCACAGGCACCGCCTTCTCCCTGCGCGCGCATCTCCGGCAGGCGCCGCGGACCGCAGCGCCCCCTGGCAGCAGAAGCGGGACTCGCAGGTGCGCCCGAGTCCTAGCTTCAGGACAAGGTTTCCTAGAACCCGGATTATTCCGGGGTCTGTCTGTGAAACAAGGGAGAAAGAGGGCCGGGGTCGGGAAAGCGGTTTGTCCACTCCCAGGGCGCCCGTCAGAGGTTTACTGAAATGTTCTTTGGTGAGCCAGAAAACTGAAAATGGAAGTGTCTTGCTGAAGAATAAAATTTGGGTTGAATTTAGTGTTTTAGGAACAGTAAGTTAATTCATGGTGAGGTTTACAGTTATTACTTTATCACTACATTGGCTACAGGACGTACCATGATTATTAGCATCAATTAACAGATGGTCTAAAGGACAAACTTGTCGACTAAGGGAACTTATATTTGCAAAGACCTCTTAACAGTTCCTAAAATCCATTTATATTCAAAATTACTTGATGACTCTCAATCCTGTGAGACAGAATTCTGTTATTCACTAGGGAGGGAATACAGGGCTTCCTATATCCTAGTCAAGTGCCCTACCACTGAGCTACATATTCCCACACTGCTTTTTTATTTTTTGAGATAGGGTCTCACTAAGTTGCCCAGGTGGCCATGAACTTGATCCTCCTGCCTCAGCTTCTTAAGAAACTGGAGTTATGAGACAGGATCGGATGTAGAACAGGATCTAAACTGTCATGTCTCAAGTAGCATTTGTGTCCACCACATCTCAATACTATAATTGTTAGTTGTTACTTAATCTTTACCAGTTTTACATCTGTAGCATAAAACCTATCCTGTAGGGTTGTTGGAAGCTTAGGAACTATCTGGGAGTAGTAAATACCCTGTTTGTCTATTCAAGACTTTGTACTAGTTGGTTGTTTTGTTTTTAATATTTTACTTTTATAATTTTTGTGTGTAGGCTCACATTGTGATATGTATATGTGTACAGGTGCTTGGAAGGTGACAGTGAAGGTCAGAGGCATTGGATCACCCTGGCTGATCAGCTGGTTTAAACATGTTCCTTTTTTTTTTTTTTTTTTAATGCTGAATGCTGTTTATTGAAGGAGGGAGGAGGTCTTAAATACAGGCTTACAGCACAATGGGAGAACCCCGGAGGGCAGAAGTTCACTACTGATGTTTTACAATCTTGCATCTAAGCTGTTAACGCCCAATATTCAGGATACACAGACAAGGAACTTCCCTTAAGCATTCAGGAGGGTGGAACCCAGCAGGAAATTATCATAGAGATGATATCAAGGTCAAGGTCAGCAAGCAAGGCAACAGTTACCCAAAACGGGGGCCAGGACCCTACAAGTCCCCCCTTTTACTAAAAATTGAGCTTCTGACTTAGGTTTCGTGGGACATCAGCAGGTCGCCTTACCCGTCATGGAGACGCCTGCCCAGGCCACACAGGCATTCTGTCTTAGGTTGGTGAGCGCCCCCCAGGTATTACCCGTCTCTGAATACTCATTATCATACAGGCTCGTTCGTGTGTGAGCTGCAGAGTTAACTGCTGCCAAAGATCTCAAAGTGGCTCTGCACTTGCAATCTGTGTGTTCGACACAGAAAAAACCAACAGAAGTCCTAACCTACCAATAGCCAGTAGGCTAAAGGCAACTGAGCCATTCCCTTCCTTAACGAGCCTTACTGCAAATTGGAGTCCTTGTAAGATGGTATCCCAATAGCAAATGGAACTTGAGTTTATAAATTTATAATTTTCAAAGCCAATCGAAATGTATATAACTATTGAATTAAATTTATCATGCCCAATAGAATGAAAGATTAACTAACTGTGGTAACTACTTTTGCTGCCAGGGTCTCCACTGTGCTAGCTGTAGTAACCAATTATGAAATGGTAATCCCAGAAACAGCAGCAGTGGCCACCACTGCTATAACAGCACAAACATGTTCCTTTTTATGTCTGTGTTTGTGCCTGTTTGTCAAGTGCATGACAGTGACTGCAAATGTCTGGAGGCCAGAAGAGGGTGCTGGATTCCCCCTGGGACTGTACTTACAGGCAGCTCTGAGTTGTCCAATGTGCTCTAGGTGCTAGGAAACAAACCTGGGTTCTCTGCAAGAGCACCAAGAACTCTTAATTGCTGAGCCATCTCTCCATTCCATGATCAGCTGGTTTTTATGTTGCAAAATTGACTGAGATTCTGCTTCGCTGGATTCTTAATTCTACCTGGTGTTCAAAGACCATGTTTTAAAAAAGTATAGGTAGCCAGGCAGTGGTGGCTCACTCCTTTAATCCTCCACTTCGGGAGGCAGCGCCAGGTGGATCTCTGTGAGTTCGAGGCCAGCCTGATCTACAGAGCAAGATCCAGGACAGGCACCAAAACTACATGAAGAAATCCTGTCTTGAAAAACCAAGTAAGTAAATAAGTAAAATTTTAAAAATAAATAAATAAATAAATAAAATTAAAAAAAAATATAGGTCCAGATAATGCATTCTTTTTTTTTTTTTTTTTTGGTTTTTCGAGACAGGGTTTCTCTGTGTAGCTTTGTGCCTTTCCTGGGACTCACTTGGTAGCCCAGGCTGGCCTCGAACTCACAGAGATCCGCCTGCCTCTGCCTCCCGAGTGCTGGGATTAAAGGCGTGCACCACCACCGCCCGGCTAATGCATTCTTTTTACTTTGTAAAGATTTTATTATTTTGAATTCTGTGTGCATATGACAGTGGGATAGATAAATGAAGCTGGCTTAGAGATCAGAAGAGAGCATTGTATTCTTTGGAGCAGGAGTTATAAGTGTCTGTGAGCCAACTGAAGTGGGTGCTGGGAACCAAACTCAGGTCTTTGTTAGGTGAGTATGCTCTCTTAACAAGTGAGCCATCTCTCCAGCCTGCAGAGGATACAAACCTACCTTAAAAGCCATCTGTTAAAACCTAAAGCTGTTTGGGTCCACTTTAATAGCAAAATAAATATTAGCATTTTTCTATGTTATTTTAGCAATATTATTTTAAAATCTTTTTATTAAAACAAAAAGTCATTAGCAGAGTGTGATGGCTCATGTCTAATCCCAGCTCTTGGTAAGCTGAGGCAGGAGTGCCTCAATTTTGAGAGTAGTTTGAGTTTCATAGTGAGTCCCAGACCAGCCTGGGCTAGTATCAGAAACCCTCTTAGAAAAGAAAAAAGGTGGGAGCAGAAAGCTAACCCAGAGGAAAGGCACTTCCTGTCAAGCCTGAAGACTTCAGCTCAATTGCCACGTCCCATTTGATGGAAGGAGAGAACAGCCTTCTACTAGTTTCTTCTGACCTCCAGATAGGTGCTCTGACAAGCACACATGTGTGCACAAATATACATCTACTCACACTAAATAAATAAAAAATGTATTAAAAAAGAACGAGAGGGGAAAAGATAAAACCGATAAAAGGTAAAATAATTATATTGTGCTTGTGGCTCACTTTAAAATGCAAATGGTGGCTAAACATATTACTAAAAGTGTGAGTTACTTTAGTTTGTAACCTAGTTTGAGCCTCCTGGACTCATGCTCAAGTAAGCAAACCAGCCTACTAATGCGCTGAGTCAGTTGTTGGCTCTCCACTTCCTGGCTTCTTGTCCACTCAGCAAAGCGGCAGTTGTATACTCTTTCTACACCACACCACCAGAGCTTGTCCTGACACAGCTTTTGCTAGTCCTCAACAAGTTGAAACAGAAGCCATGGTTTGTCAGAGTGTACAGAGCCAGTAAGCACATCACTGACTTCAGGATCTACGCTGGGAAAGTCCATTTTGCTCTTTTTCAGAAAGCTGATCCCTGTGTCCTTTTACTGGTGTATAATCTGGGAAAGCAATGAAGTGTGAGTATACCGTTCTCAGCATATTGGAGCTCACTGGACCTCTATAGTTGGAGGAGGCAGTTGTAGATGAAACTCACTTTGAGAAGAACCTAGCCAGGAGCTAACAGCTATTATAGTTTGGTAGATGTCTTTTTAAACATCCATTTATACCATGTTCTGAGTTTAAATGCTGAAAACCTTATTTGTGACCTGGGTGAAGGGCAATTTGAGTTAGCAGCTAGAAAACAAGTTTTAGCCCTGGATTTTCCAGTGAAGAAACATCTTATTTGACTGATATGTCCAAGGGAGAGGGTAAAGAACAAAAATTGAAAGAAGAAGAAGAAGAAGAAAAAAACCCTAAAAACCACAGATATGTAAGTTCATAGATCAAATTCAGGACCTGAAAAAGGATGGCTTCTTATATACATAAGTTTTTATTAAACATCCCAAAACGTGACTATTTGTTTTGTTAAGTGTGGGTGACAGGCTTTTTTAATGTCACTTTTCTATCAAATGCAAGTACAGACTGGCCTCTGGTCTCTCATTCAAGACAATCTTCCTAAGTGCTGGGCTTACCATGATCTTGAAGTCCTTCTGCCTTAGTCTCCCCAGTACTGAGATTACATGTGTACACCATTAGACCCAGCTGGAGGAAACCCTTTAACCACAGTGACAGGAAAGCAGCAAGGTCCTCAGCAGCTGCAGTGCTATATAGCCTTGGCTGTGACTTCCTGGAAATACAAGGAGCACTCAAAGCACAGCTCCAGTTCAATTTCTATTTGTCGAGTAGTGTGATCAGAGTCCGCAGTTTATTACTGAGTTTAGGCGATCATGTCATTGACTGTGGCCAGACTATTATCTGTAGGTGCATTTTAACTCAGAAATGAATCAGTGTTGCAACCAGGCTAGTATTCACTGAACCTTAAAAACTGCTGTTTGGGCCTGGAGAGATGGCTGAGCAGCTAAGAGAACTGACTGCTGTTCCAGAGGACCTGGGTGGCTTTCAACTACTGTAAATCCAGCTTCAAGGTATCTGACACTCTCTTCTGACCTCTATGGGTACCAGTATCCACACACTTGCACACACACACACACACACACACACACACACACATACCAATAAACATCAAAGTTTTTTGAGACAGGGTTTCTCTGTGTAGTTTTGGTGCCTGTCCTGGATCTTGCTCTGTAGACCAGGCTGGCCTCGAACTCAGAGATCTGCCTGGCTCTGCCTCCCG